CTCTGTCTCTCTCTCTCTCTCTCTCTCTCTCTGCCTCTCTCTCTCTCCTCTGTCTCTCTCTCTCTCTCTCTTCCCCCCCTTCCGGCCCTTCCCTGCTCGCACACACTCTCTCTTACACTCTCAAAATAAACAAACATTTTAAGAAAAATAAAAAATAAAAGTGTCTCTGTGGGTATGTACTCAAACTAGGATAATCTGCATCCTTCAGATTGGTTTGTAATAGTTGTAGTTTCTCCAAGCATACAATTCTGAGCACATAAGGACAAAATTCTTGATCTTGAATTCTATTTTAGGGAATTTTAGCACTGATCTTACTCTCTTGGATTGGACCAAATACATATGAACTTGTAACAGTTTTCAGTAGCTAATGGGTGTATTGTCTTTTCTCATTTTCTCATGCCCTAAGATAGCGTCCTACATTTTTGTTTGTCTGTAATGTTCACTAAAAATTCTGCTGGTCATCTTAGGAACTTCCCAATGCTTGAAGAATACATGTAAGCAGAATGAAGGCTTTAACTATTCTTTTGGGATTTTAACTTGGCTCATTTTCTTCTTCTTAGCTGATACACCTCCTCCTGCCTATATGCCACCAGACGATCAAATGGGTCAAGATAATTCCCAGCCCATGGATACAAGCAATAACATGATTCCTCAGATTATGCCTAGTATCTCCAGCAGAGGTAAGAGAAAAATACCATGTTTTGTTGTTGTTGCTATTTTGTTTGTTTTTAATTTTTTAGCCACTTTTAAGAAACCAACTTTATTGAAGCATAATTTATATACCCTAACATTTATCCATTAGAAGTGTACGATGCAGTGATTTTTAGTAATATGCATAAAGTTTGGCACCATCATCACAATCTGCTTGTAGAACGTATTCATAAGCTTTTTAGAAGATCCCCTGTGCCTATTTGCAGTCTATCCCTGTTCCTTTTGTCAGCTCCAGAGACCCTCTAGGCTGTTTTCTGTCTATATAGATTTACCTTTTCTGAACATTTCGTGTATGTTGAATCACATAATGTGTAGTCTTGTGCATCTTGGCTTCTTTGATTTAGCATAATGTTTTCAAGGTTCTTTCACGTTGAACCACGTATCAGTAGTTTGTTCCTTTTTATTGCTGAATGATATTCCATGGTACGGATGTACCACATTTTTTTTATCCATTCGTCAGTTGATGGACATTTGAATTATTTCTAGTTTTTGGCTCGTATGAACAATACTGTTTGGAACGTTTGCATATAAGTCTTTGTATGGGCTTTGTTTTTATTTTTCTTGGATAAATGCCTAAGAATGGAATTTCTGACTCAATATGATAAATTTAACTATTTAAGAAAACTGCCAATTTCTCCAAAGTGGCAGTATTGTTTCATATTCCTACCAGTAACATAGGAGGTTCCAGTTTCTCCACATGCTCTTGATACTTGTTATTGTCAGTCTTTTTATCTTTTTATCACCACTCTATCGATTTTAGTGCACGTGAAGTGGTGTCTCCTTGTTTTAATTTGCATTTCCATAATGAGTAATGATTGTTGAACATTCTTTATGTCCTTATTAGCCATTCGTACATCTTTTTTCATGAAATACTTAAATCTTTTGCCCATTTTTTATTTGGGTTGTTTGTTTTACTGTTCACTTGTAAGAGTTCTTTATATATTCTGGATAGAATTCCTTTGTTAGATGTATGATTTGGAGGCATTTCCTGTCAGTCTGTGGGTTATTTTTGCATTTTCTTAATGCTTGTTTTTGGATTTTCTTTTGAGGCATGAAAATTTTTGATTTTTTTTCTATACCTTTATTTACTTTTCAGCAAGTTTGAATCCTTGAGGGGTACAGTATCACATGGATTCTGTGACCAGTGGCTTTAGCAGGAAGATTGCTTTGGAATTTGGCACAAACCATGCCATTGTTTCCATGAGCATGAGTTACTTTTCCCCAGATTACTCGTTCACTTTGCCACGAGGAGTCACTGTGACCTATGCCTTGTACATATCAGCACATCTCTCTCCAGGGTAGAGTTCAGTTTCATCTCGAGCATAAACACTTTCAGTTTTAAGAAGAGCTTTGTGCTCCCTCTGGTCCTGGAGACCCCGCTTAGAGCCAGCAAAAATGGCCTTGGACCACAGCCTTCAGACATATTTGTCATTTTAGGAGTCCTGTTCCCAGCAGGCCTCCACAGGCTGCAAGATGGCAGAAGGAGTTGCAGGTTTTTAATTTTGACGCAGTCCAGCTTGTCAGTTCTTTCTTTCTTGATCATGCTTGTGGTGCTGCATTTAGAAAATCTTTGTCTATTCCAAAGTTGTGAAAATAGTTTCTGTTTCGTCTTTTTCTAGAAATTTTATAGCCTTAACTTTTACATTTAGGTCTGTGATTCATTTTGAGGTAAACTTTTTGTATGGTAAAGATCTAAATTCCTCTCTGTGCATGTAGATATCCAGTTGGGTGTAGCACTATTTTGTTGAAAGGTATCTACGATTTCTCCAACAAATTGCCTTGGCATGTTTTTCAGAAACCAGTTGACCATATATGTAAGAGTTTGTTACAGGACTCTCAACTCATTCATTGATTTGTATATCTGTACCTCATAGTCTAGGATACTTACTAAAGCTTCATAGTAAATTTTGAAAGCGAGAAGTGTTTTTTTGAAATTTGAAAGTGAGAAGAATTTTTTCTTTTTCAAAATCGTTTAGCACTTCTGCATTCTTTGCATTTCCGTATCATTTTGGTATCAGTGTGTAAATTTCTGCCTCCCCAAAATTCCTTCCTTGGATTTTGATAGAGATCACGTTGAATCTCTGAATCAGTTTGAGAGGTTTGCCATCGTCTTCTAGTGCACAGATGTGATATGTCTTCCCATTTATTTACATCTTCCAGTTTTCAGTATTGTTTTACTTTTGCTTTTCTTTATAGATGCATTCCTGAGGGAATGGAATTTATTTAGAACTTCATATTTGGTGTCTTCTTAATTAAATACATTGAAATACAATTGATTTTCATATATTCATCTTGTAACCTACAACCTTGCTGAACTCATTTATTCTAGTAGGGTTTTTTTGTGTGTATGCGAATTCCTTAGGGTCTTATGAATACAGGAACAGGTAAATAAAAAACAGCATTATATTTTTCCTATCCAATGTGGATGCCTTTTAATCTCTCTCTTATTAGTATTATTAGAGGGCATATATGAAAACCTACAGCTGTCACCATCTTTAATGGTAAAATACTAGATTACTTTCCCCATACAATTGAAGATGTGGGGTGTGTGTGTGTGTGTGTGTGGCAAACACACACACACACACACATTTATGTTTATGAATATATTTATGAATCTATTACTCAGCCATCAAAAAGAATGAAAATTTGCCGTTTCCAACAATGTGGATGAAGCTAGAATGTATTATGCTAAGCGAAATAAGCAGAGAGAGACAAATACCATATGAGGTCGCTCATGTGGAATTTAAGAAACAAAACAGGGGCGCCTGGGTGGTGCAGTCGGTTAAGCGTCCGACTTCAGCCAGGTCACGATCTCGCGGTCCGTGAGTTCGAGCCCCGCGTCGGGCTCTGGGCTGATGGCTCAGAGCCTGGAGCCTGTTTCCGATTCTGTGTCTCCCTCTCTCTCTGCCCCTCCCCCGTTCATGCTCTGTCTCTCTCTGTCCCAAAAAATAAATAAAAAACGTTGAAAAAATTAAAAAAAAAAAAAAAAAGAAACAAAACAGATGAACATATGGGAAGGTGGCGGGGGGAGAAAAAAGGAAAACAAAGCACAAGAGACTCAACGATAGAGAACAAACAGGGTTGATGGAGGGAGGTGAGTGGGAGATGGGCTGGGTGGGTGACAGGTATTAAGGACGGCACTTGTGATGAGCACTGGGTGTTGTATGTAAATGGTGAGTCACTGAATTCTTCTGAAATCAATATTGCACTGCATGTTATCTAACTAAAATTAAAAAAGAAAAAAAAAGACAAGGATGCCTGCTCTCACCACTTGTACTTACCACTGTTCTGGCCGTAAACTACTAGGTCTCTTCTATTCCTAGTTTTCTGAGAATTTTTTACCATGAATGGATGGTGGATTTTGTTAGAAGCTTTTTCCGCATCTGTCGAGATAATCAGATGAGGTTTTGTTCTTTTTTCTAACAGTAAGGTGTATTACATGAACTCGAAACCAATCTTTTATTCCTGGGATATTTCCATATGGTGTATAATTTTTTTTTTACATATTTCTAGATTAGATTTACTGATATTTTGTTGAGTGTTTTTACTTGTGTATTCATGAGGAAGGGATAGTGGTATGTAGTTTTGTTGGGTTGTCTTTATTCAGCATTGATATCAGGGTAATAATGACATCATGGAATGAGTTGGTAACTGTTCCCTCCTATTTTTGGAAGAGTTTGTTTGTATTATTTCTTCTTTAAATATTTGATAGAATTTACCAGTGAAGATATTTGGGCTTGGACTTTTCTTTGTGGGGAAATTTAATTCCTGTTCAATTTCCTTGATTCTGTCATTCTATTCAGAGTCTCTGGGTTTTTTGTTTGTTTGTTTGTTTGAGTCAGTTTTGGTAATTTGTATCTTGCTAGGAGTTTGTGTACTTTGTCTAGATTGTCTGATTGTTGACATAAAGTTTTTTTGTGGTACACTTTTTAGTATTTCTCATTTCTGTGGGGGTTAGTGGTGATGTCTTCATTTCTGATTTTGGTAATTTGCGTCTTGTTCTTTTTTTCTTGGTTGGTTTTTAGCTAAAGGGTTGTTAATTTTGTTGATCTTTTGAAAGAACCAGCTTTTCTCTTTTTCACGGATTTCCAGTCCAGTCTGTCTTATTTTCTTTATTCTGCTTACTCTAGCCTTAGTTTGCTTCTCTTTCTATAGTTTCTTTTTTTTTTTTTTTTAATTTTTTTTTTCAACGTTTTTTATTTATTTTGGGGACAGAGAGAGACAGAGCATGAACAGGGGAGGGGCAGAGAGAGAGGGAGACACAGAATCGGAAACAGGCTCCAGGCTCCGAGCCATCAGCCCAGAGCCCGACGCGGGGCTCGAACCCACGGACCGCGAGATCGTGACCTGGCTGAAGTCGGACGCTTAACCGACTGCGCCACCCAGGCGCCCCTCTTTCTATAGTTTCTTAAGGTGAAATCTATAGGTTATTGGAAATCTTAGGTTATTTTTAAATTTCCCTTGTGATTTCTTACTTTGACCCTTTGTTTATTTAGCAACATGTTCATCAGTTTCCATATATTTCAGGATTTCCTCAGTATTTTCTGTTGGTTCCTAATTTAATTCCATTGTGGGAATATAAAGCATTGAACCTAAATTGTATGAGTTCCGTTCTTTTTAAAACTTACTGAGAATTGTTTTATGCATGTTTTTGTACAGCCTGTGACCTAAGAATGGTTTTTAGATTATTAAAGAGTCGTTGAGTTGCCTGGATGGCTCAGTCGGTTACACGTCCGATTTCGGCTCAGGTCATGATCTCACGGTTCGTGAGTTCAAGCCCTGCGTTGGGCTCTGTGCTGACAGCTCAGAGCCTGGAGCCTGCTTCGGATTCTGTGTCTCCCTCTCTCTCGGCCCCTACCTAGCTTGTACTCTGTCTCTCTCTCAAAAATAAATAAACATTAAAAAAAAATGAAAAAAAAAAGAGTTGTTAAAGATGAATACGTGACAAAGATAGTCTGTAGCTTTCAAAATCTAAAATATTTGCATCTCACTTGGTCATGGAATTTAATCCTTGTGTCTTGCTGGATTTAGCGGGCAGAAAAGGTTTGCCAGCTTCTGGCAGAGCAGTGGTCTATTTTAGAGACTAATTCCATGTGTTTGTGGGACAAAAACTTTATTTTGATACCGTAGGATGTCTTAAGATCTGTGGATTTTAGTTACATCAAGTTAGTAGTGTTGTTCAGGTCCTCTGTATCCTTGCTTATTTTCTTTCTAATTGTTCTATCAGTGATTGAGAGTGTGAGATTGCAGGTTAGGGCATCTCCAACTATTGCTGTTGAATCCTTTATTTCTACTTCCATTCCTGTTGGTTTTTGCTTCAGATACTTTGAGGGCTCTGTTGGTAAAGCGAGCAATTTGGTATCCTTAAATATATGCACAGTGTTGTGCAATCATCACTACTATCCATTTCCAGAACTTTCCATCATCTGAAACAGAACTCTTCCCGTTAAACAGTAACTGCCCATCCCCCCTCCACTTAGCTCCTTGGTAGCTACCATTCTACTTTCTGTCTCTGAATTTGCCTATCTAAGTGGAATCATACAATATTTGTCTTTTTGTGGTTGACTTCTTTCACTTAGCCTAATCTTTTCAAGGTTTATCCATGTTATAGCATGTGTCAGAATCTCATGTCTTTAAAGACTGAATGTGTTCTCTTGTATGCACGTTATTATATGCACTTCTGTGCCACATTTTGTTAATCCATTTATCGGTTGATGGACATTTGGGTTGTTTCTACCTTTTGGTAGAATAGTGAATAATGCCACTATGAATATTGTTGTCTAGGTATTTATTCGACTCTCTGCTTTTAATTCATTTGGATCCTATCCCTGGGAGTAGAATGACTGGATTTTGTGGTGATTCTGTTTAACTTTTTGAGGAACTGCCAAGCTTTTTTTCCACAGCGGCTGTACCATTTACATTTCCCCTAGCAGGGCATTAGAGTTCTCATTTCTCTACATTCTTGCCAACTCTTGTTATTTTCCGTGTTTCTTGTTTTGTTTCATTTTTGTTTTTTTATATAATGGCTATCCTAATGGGTGTGAAGTGGTATCTCATTGTCTGTCTAAAGTCACTGTGTTTTGAGACCTTAAACTCCTTAGTATATGACCAGTTAGAAGAAGTAAGGTACTGCCATTTTACACATTTCTTAAAAGGATGGTGTTTTTGTGTACTTTGCATGTGTTTGTGATGATACCATATGAGTGTATGTCACATGTGTTTTCCCAGGACACCCGCATTTCTCAAAATAGTTAAATTTCAGGCCTCCCTAGTAGTTTTGTTAATGTGTGAATAATATCTTTGCTTTTTCAAGGTCTAGAATTTATCTAGGAATTTTGTCATACTAATTTTCTTGTAATTCATAGAATCTCCCTTCATTTGGATCAAAATGTCTCAGACGTGAATTTCTGGATGTGAATTCTTGCACCTCCCCTTATTCACTTTGCAGCCTAAGATGGCTTTTTAAATCTCTCAGCTTCCCTTTCTCCATTTGTAAATTAAACAGAGAGAATGTCTGCACAGGAATTGTTAGTTGTTGATTGGATTAGATGCTCTGTGTAATGACCATGGCATACCGCGTCAGGAAATACCCAGTGAATGGTGTTCTCATCCTCCTTGAAAATACGGAGAGGATTTACTTCACCTGTCATCTTCCTTTTCCTCTTTCTCCTGACTGTGCAGAGGGCGGAGTGCAGTTTCCTGCTGTTGTGTGTGAGACACTCCTTGCTGTACTGTTTGTCTCGGCCTAACAGCTTAGTCCCTTTAGAGGAACTTGGCACTCAAGTCTTCTTGCCCTCCTTCGATATCTTTTTTCACCGAAGTTTCCTGTCATTTCAGTCCTATTTTGTGTTTTTTCTCTCTGTTTTCTTTGACAGATAGGTGACAGAAGGGAACTCAGAGTTAAACTGTAGCACCTTGAATTGCCAGTTGACAGTGTGTCCCTTGCCTTGAGCAGAGACAAAGCTCTTCATTCTCTTCTTTTTTTCCAAACCAAAATTGTCTTTTTAGTTGTGCTTAGCATTTTTTCTCTGCAAGCTTCTGCTTGGCCCTGGCTTTCCTGATACTATTCTTAAAACTGCCTGAAACTCATTTGTCTGCGTCTGGTTATGGGCCCCTCCCTGTTCCATCTTTTGTATAAACTTCTTTAAATTCTGACCTCTTAGGACTTCTCTTTATGGGTCCACATTGGTTTATTTTTCTCTGGTCCTGCTTATCTGAATTCTTTGCAGTTGAATAACCAGTGCTGAGTTTATAAAAGTTAACCAGTTCTTTTGCATGGTCTGCCTCGGCCACATAGCCGCTCTTAGGGGTTTTTGGACATTTTTTTATGTCTGTCTTTTTTGAAAGAAAACTTGAGGGTTCATCACTTATCTTCCTCATTTCAGCCTCAAGAAAGAAACCCTGTGAGCATTGGAAGAAGAGTTTCATGTGTCCCTCCCGTCCATTGCATCCATTAGGAATTGTTGACTTTCACAACAATAAGATTTTGGCCGATAGTTGATGTATAAATCTTTTTCCATAGGCAGTTCTGGCCTTTAACATTAGTATGTATACCACCTTTTACCAAAGTTAATGCTCACATAGTTGTGTGTGTGTGAGTGTGTGTGTGTGTGTGTGTGTGTGTGTGTGTGTTTTCAACAGACTTTATTTTTTATATGAGTTTTAGGTTCACAGCAAATAAGAGTATAAAAGTACAGGTCATTCTCACCTCCCACCCCCACCCCCGCCTCCACACATGCACAGCCTGGCCAGCTACCAAAACCCTACACTGGAGTGGTCCATTTCTTACAATCGATGAACCTGCCTTTACCATCATTATCATCCCAAATTGATAATTTACATTAGAGGCCATTTTTGGTGTGTGTTTTGTGGATTGTAACAAATGAATGTAGTAGCGAAGTATATGGAAGTATACCTATGGTATACAGAATAGTTTCACGGCCCTAAAAATCCTCTATGCTTTGCCTGCTCATCCCTCATTCCTCCCTCATTCCCTCTGACTCCTGGTAATTTTTCTGTCTCCATAGTTTTGCCTTTTCCAAAATGTCATCTAATTAGAATCATATAGTGTGCAGCCTCATCACATTGGTTTCTTTCACAGAGTAACATGCATTTAAGTTTCATCTCTTTTCATGGTTTGATAGCTCATGTCTCTGTTGAGCTGAATAATATTCTGTCATCTGGATGTACCAGAGTTTGTTTTCCACTCACCTATTGAAGGACATCTTGCTTGCTTTTAAGTTTTGGCAAATATGAATAAGGCTGCTGTACACATCTGTGCGTAGGTTTTTATATGGAATAAATTTTTAGCTCCTTTGGGTAAATACCGAGCGTGTTTGCTGGTATATGGTTATATGGTAAGAGTATGTTAAGTTTTGTAAGAAACTGCCAAACTGTCTTCCAAAGTGGCTGTACCATTTTACGTTCCCACTAGCAGTGAATCAGAATTCTTACGGCTCCACATACTCACCAGCATTTGGTGTTGGCCCTCTTTTGGATTTTGGCCATTCTAATGTCCCTGTATGTCCCTATAATGTCACTGCCATCTATAGTGGTATTTTACTGCTATTTTAATTTGCATTTACTGATGGCATACAATATGGGGCCTCTTTTCATATGCTTATTTGTTATGTGTCTGTCTTCTTTGAATGAGGTGGCTGTTTATGTATTTAATCCATTTTTTTTAATTGGGTTATTTATTTTCTTGTTGGATTTTAAGAGTTCTTTGTATATTTTGGATAATAGTCCTGTACCAGATATGTCTTTTGCATGTATGGACAGAGGATCTGAATAGACATTTTTCCAAAGAAGGCATAAAGATGGCAACAGATACGAAAAGATGCTCAGTGTCATTAATCATCAGGGAAATGCAAATCAAATCACAGTGAGACACCACCCCACACCAGGCTGAGCAGCTAGTATCAAAAAGACAAGAAATAAGGATTGACGAGGATGTGGAGAAAAGAGAACCTGGTACACTATTTGTGGGAGTGTAGATTGGGGCAGCTACTGTGGAAAACAATACGCAGATTCCTCAAAAATTTAAAAATAGAAACACTGTATTTTCTAGTAATTCCACTTCTGGTTATTTATCCAAAGAAAGTGAAAACACTATTTTTTTTTTTTGAAAACACTAATTTGAAAAGATATCTGCACCTCTGTGTTTGTTGCAGCATTATTTACAATAGCCAAGATATGGGAGCAACCTAAGTGTCCATTGGTACGTAAGTGGATAAAGGAGATTTATACACAGTGGAATATTACTCAGCCATAAAAATGAGATCTTGCCATTTTGCATCAACATAGATGGATCTAGAGGCTGGCTACTCTGCTAAGTGACATAAGTCACAAATACAAATTTGTCACAAAGACAAATACCATATGATTTTACACATGTGTTGTATAATGTTGTGTGGTGACTGGTGGTAACTGCTCGTATTGTGGTGAGCGGTGAGTAATGTATAGGGATTATCTAATCACTGCATTGTATGCCTGGAACTAAAGTGATGTTGTATGTCAACTATACATCAGTAATAAAAATTTTATTTTTTTTTATTTTATTTTTTTTTTTACATCAGTAATAAAAATTTTAAAGAAAAAAAAATAAATGTGATGTTGCCTATCCTTGTATTTGTATTTGATAATTTTTCAAATCATCATATTCAAGGCATTTTTGTTTTTTTTTTTTTTGATACAGACTCAAAGTCAGGGAGGAACAATGAGATTTAAGTGGAATATCTGAAAGTATTTTTCATAGAGTGCTTGGGTTTGGTTAAAGGGAAACAAAGAATCTGGGGTTTCTAATTCACTCATTAAATGTTCTGTTTTTTGTATTTTTGTCTGGTTTGTTTACAGATGTTCAGCCTGTTGCCTATGAGGAGCCCAAACATTGGTGTTCAATTGTCTACTATGAATTAAACAATCGTGTTGGGGAGGCTTTTCATGCATCTTCTACTAGCGTGTTAGTGGATGGATTCACAGACCCTTCAAATAACAAAAGTAGATTCTGCTTGGGGCTGTTGTCAAACGTTAATCGTAATTCAACAATTGAAAACACTAGGCGACATATTGGAAAAGGTAATTTTGTCATTTCCCTGCGTTCATTTGAAATGAGTCCTTTGCTGTACTTGCCGTTTACCATGTATCATGGAAGGTGCTGGCGCAGAAGATGAGCCTAGAGCATGGGTGCTGCTCTCCAGTTCTGCTGGTGAATATATTAAGACCTAATCAGTCCTCTTTTCCTTATCCTGCTTAGTTTTACTTCTTAGTACTTAGGATCTGAAATTATATTATTTCTGTGTTTATTTTTTGAGTATCTTCCTGATTGGAATGTAAGCTTTACAGAAATACGCATTGTTCATAGCAGTATTTTCAGCAGTGCCTGGCTCATAGTAAATACACAGCAAATATTTGTGAAATATATGAGTGCTGGTGGAAGAGTAGAATTTATTAATTGAGGTATTTGTGGAGTATTTTGAGTTGAAGTGCCTTGTAAGAATTTCTCTTATGTTGGAGGAGCCGGGTTACAGGTAGGGAATCCAATTTGAATGATACAAGTTTCCAGTGGCTTCACCACTATTCCTCCTGCCTTTTAAATTCAGGTAACAAGGTTTTATTTATATTTCATCCTGCAAGACAGTTGCCACAACAAACAAGGAACTTTCCACACCTCAGTGAAAGGGCAGAGTCCCATGCATCAAGTGGCCGGGAAGGAAACCTATCCCAGGTGGAGTGTATTACCTGTCTCCTAAGAAGTGTAGTTTTTACCACTGGCTGTTTTTGGCTTCTTTGACTTGAGAAAGTCTTAGTCCAAGTTAGGAGAAGATGTACGTAATTATCGTTGTAAAGTGATTTCTTGTAGAAGAGATTCAGCAAAATACTATGGCCAAAAATAAGTTGAAAAGAAAGTTTCTATTCTTTTTTGACTCTTGCCATCTTGGTGCAATTTTGTAGGTGAAATGCCTCACTTCTATGCATTGATTTTCGCACTACAGTAGGGTAATTTAAGAGAAATCTACTTGGTGAATTTTTAGTTCTGGAATCTGTTTTCCCTTTTTTTCTAGTACCCAGTTCTAGGATCCCTTCTTCTGTGTGCCATTTTTATTTGCTCAGAAACAAAACACAGCTTTTCGTATCACAGCCTGATACAAGTCTGTGACTCACATGTGTATGGGGTATGTGTTATAAAGATGGTCTTATTAGCACTGTTTGGGTAGTGAAAAATTGGAAATAACCTAAACCTTAACTACATAATTTGAAGTTTTAATATTGAAATTACGTTTATATATTATTTACATATATATTTTTTAAATAGAAAAACCATTCTTTTTAGGGGAAGTGAAATAAATCTGTTTAGAACCCCTTCCTGTGAACTGAAATTATATATGTGGTTTAGGGTCTCTCTTTTTTTTTTTTTTTTAAGTTTATATATTTATTTTGAAAGGGAGAGAATGAACAAGGGGGGGCCGAGAGAGAAGGGGGACAGAGGATCCCAGGGGGGTTCTGTGCTGACAGCAGAGAGGATTTAGGGTCTTTGAATGCTGCTGTACCCTCCATTAGTAAAAAGAGTGCAAAACACTCTGCCAACTGACTCTATGATAGTTAAGAGCGCCAGCTTTCCTTTGAAAGGACTCATCATAGGTGCCTTTTTTGTCTTTTTGCCTTCGCTTTCTCTCATAGAGCTAACAAGTGATTGTTGGCAAAGAGAAGACAACCTAAGAACTGATAAACGTAATAATCTGCCAGCCTGAGGGTTAAGTCTTGGTTACTTGAGGACCACTGTAGAATTCAGGCAGACATTAACCTCTTCCTTATCTTCGGCACCATAGGCCCTCTAGTGGTAGCTTCTACCTCCAGACTTTGCGCGGTTGCTGTGGATTAGTGGGTGTTCTTGGTTGCACCCCATACAGCGTCTTTGATTTCATTATACTGATTTATTAAGGTGAGTCTTGGAATGCTCGTCTTTTTAAGGTGTTCATCTGTACTACGTTGGTGGCGAGGTGTACGCGGAGTGCCTCAGTGACAGCAGCATATTTGTACAGAGTAGGAACTGCAACTTTCATCACGGCTTTCATCCTACCACTGTCTGTAAGATTCCCAGCAGTTGCAGCCTCAAAATTTTTAACAATCAAGAGTTTGCTCAGCTTCTGGCTCAGTCTGTCAACCATGGGTTTGAGGCGGTGTATGAGCTCACCAAAATGTGTACCATTCGAATGAGTTTTGTCAAGGTGAGTGGGTTGTAAGCTGTAGCTTAATTTGAGTCACTGTAAATATGTAGTTCATATTTCTATAGGTTATGATTCTAAAAAGTAATTCTTAAAATGCAAGGTGGGATTTACTTTTGACTTAATAGGTTTTTAAATGATGTTGTTGAATTTAAGGCTTTAACCACTCAATAGGTCTAAGTAGTAATTTTATAATCCAGACATTATAAAATGCATAGTACTGACAATGATTTTGATATGAATAGGGGCTGAATTTATAAAGAATTTCAATTAAAGACTAAATTGCTAGAAAGCATTTCACATTAAAATTGCTTTTCAAGTTCCTTAACCTCTGCAATTTCAGTTGTTATTAGATTCCACTGGAATGACTTAAAAAATTCTTCAGAATACTAATATTATCTTCCAGGTATTTAACCTCTGTTATTAAGGATTTGCAAAGTTGAATGTTTCAAATTTATCATTTGCTCTTGGCCTGATTTCATTGGCATTCCAAAGATGATGGTTCATGAGTAAAATTAGGGAAGAGTTTTAGTTGATACATTTAAGCATCCTGTACTACATCCACTTGGTCCTTACGGATTTAGCCAAAGAAGAGCATCTGTGAAATGCTGCATGTGGCCTTTTTTTTTTGACATTCAGAAGAATAGTCCAGTGTTTCCTTACTGTTTTGCTATAGGTCTGTTTTATGCATCACTTTATCAGCAGTCCCGAAGGCATGCCCCTCTCCATAGAAACCTAACTTTTGTATATTTAATTTCTACTCCACCGCCCCTAAGCCTAATTTATCCATGCCAGCACTACTTTAAGCAGTAAAGCAGAGGATTTGGTAAATCCAGGCAAATAAAAGTGAAAAAATATATTTTAATCTTTATCTAGAGTTTTAGGTTAAAATATTCCAGCTTCCTTCATCCCAGCTACATTAATTACATTTGCATGCATTGATGAGATCTACAGTGCCTTCCTTAACTGATAGTTAAAAAAAAAACGAAACAAAAAAAACCCCAAACCTAAAAACTAAAAGCTTTTTCCTAACAAAATCTGATGTGAATGTACATGAGACTGTAAGTTTTGTTTATCTCATTGAGAATGTATCTCACTGCAGAAATACTTATGTTTTAATTATGAGATATTGTACTGTATTAACTTTCTAAACTAAAAAAAAAAAAAGAATTCTAAAACCTATCTTGTTCCAAGGATTTCTATTAAGGGACTCCTATCTCTTTCCAAAAGTTCTGCAACTCTGTTGCTTTGAATTCCATGGTGAATCCTAAGATTGGTTTGGTGATCTGTATTGTTAAAGTATCTTTTTGTTAGTATGTTAAAATTGGTTTAGACTGGTTTACAGTTTAAAGAGGGCTTTGCTGTGATATCTTTTCATTTTCTTAGGGCTGGGGAGCAGAATATCACCGGCAGGATGTTACCAGCACCCCGTGTTGGATTGAGATTCATCTTCATGGGCCTCTTCAGTGGCTGGATAAAGTCCTTACTCAGATGGGTTCCCCTCTGAACCCCATATCTTCCGTCTCATAGTGCAGAAGTAGTCTTTTCAATTATATTATTCGTGGACTCGTTTTAATTTTAGGGAAACTTTTCAGTACAGATACTGTGAGCTTACATGGAAAACAGATATTACAACTTTTTTTTTTCTACATAATTGTGACCAATACATTTGTATTTTGTGACGAATCTACATTTGTTTGTTATTCGTGTTCATGTGATTAACTCTCAAAAGTGTTGTGAAAAATGTAAAGTAGAAGTATTGTGCCCCAAATTCACAGGTTTGGCGTTGATCTTAAACTGGAACATAATTTTGCCTTATTGTCCCAACAACCTGTTACTTGTTCAGTTTCTTGGAAAAATATAATGCGTCACATGATGAAAAATTATAATAGAAAAAGAAAGTATGTGGTGAAAATTCTTCCCTTCTCCTTTTAACCCTACAGGAAATGTACTTTTTCCAGTTTCTTTGTCCTACCAGTGTTAAGAAAGTGTAGTTCGTTGTTTTCTGAAAGCATGTGGTAGGAGCTGAAAAGAAACTATAAAAAAAAATTCTTCTATTTGAAGGAACACTATGCACTGCTCTCACAAGTAGTGTTCAGTAAAAGCAAAGTGATAGTTTTCTAGATGATGTCATAAAATGTACATTTACTACAGCTAAGTGTTTGTCAGTCTGTTGTGGCTTCATTCAGTATATCTTTTGTAAAACATTTCCTTTTTTTAAGAAAAATTATTGTAAACACCAGATCTCCAGTATATGTCATTTACTCCGAGTCTGTCCCGAGTACTACTTTATAGCTAGTGCATGCGCGGCCTTGTTCAGCTTGGCTACTTTTGGCCACTGTTGCAAGAACTCTAACTTTGACATGCATTAATCTTCTGTTTTGCACTTTGATGGGTGACAGTTTTTAGTGTAACCTTTTGTGTAACACACTCAAGTGACTTGGACTTCGATGCTCATCCTTACTTGGTACCCCTTTTGTATTAACAAACACTGCGGTTTATAGATTACAGTTGTAGGAAGTTAGACTTTTTCTACCTTTTTTGTATTTTCGACCTAGTTTATAAGACTGTTATTCTGTAGCTCCAATGTAAGGTGCCTTTCTAATTACCTACCACTCTCTGGGTGTCACTCGTGTTGGAAAGTCACAGACTCCTCCCATTGCTGTTACTGGTGTCAGTTGCCCCTAGTAAGGAAAGGACCTGTGTGCGGTAGCCGTAAGAACCTCTTCGGTCTGACCCTGGGTTGGGGCTGCTGGTCTGGTACTTAAACGAGTAAGCAGTGGTTGTTGAGATAGTTGATTTTGAAGTAGTCACGTATCAGAGAATGCAGACTATTCTCTCAGTTCCCACGAATGCTCTGTTTTTTCCCATTTATTAGCACTTCCATGGATGCTAATGTCCCAGAACACTAGTCCTCAGAGAGGAAAGACACGAAAATTCTAAAATACCTGTTCGTTCAGTCATGCTTGAAGGAAGGACTTTTAACCTCTCTTTCTAGAGAGCAGCCAAATGGACACTTGGTTATGGCATGAGAACAAAGATGTATTTTGAAAAAAAGTGACCTAATTTACCTCTCAGAGAAAGCTATTTTCTGGTGCCTTTTGAAAGTATATGGAGCCATGTCAGTCTTCTATTTAAAGTGCTAGTTTGGTTTGACTTTCTCTCCTTTGCCCTTTCTGCATTTTTTGAGGAAAGGAGAATACAGTTCCTTTTTTCTGTGACATTATTTATTGCTTTTACAAAGTGCAGCCAGTGGATGGCTTTAGTTCTGTCAGATGAAGTGCCATATATGTTTCAGCTCACAGTCCTTTGCTGGGTCAAAGGATACTTCCTGACAGTCACCTGAGCCTTCAACATAAGTAAGTTTTACGTGACCTGCATTCTTAATCTTCCACACTTGTGTCAGCCACATGAAAGAGAATTATTTGCCTAGTGTTAGAACCTAGCTATTTACGTCATTCTTTTACTTACCAGGCTTATGGCATAATCTTTGGAACAAATGTGTAGGAAGAAACCACCCAGGTTGAATGACGGATACGTGTAATCAACTTCCATGGACTTGAACTGGTGGAAACTGTTGAATTGTTTTATTGATGTTTTCAATTGATTTAATTAAAAATTGTTTTTATTCGTGTTATGGTCTTTAGAGTTGTTGAGATTTTATGCGATTGATCTTTTCTGTCTTTTCCTTAAGGAGTTGTGTCTCATGAAGGTCATTACTGAAGCTATTGACCGTTCAGAGTTCCATGGAAGAGTAGAAGCCTGTGGTCTTAACTAAAAGACATTAACTATATACCCCTGGATTTTAACTGAAAATTTTATGCAGTTGCTTCTGTAATTCCCGGGTGTGTCCAAAATCTATGGATGGGAAGTAAAAATTGCCAGTGAGATTTTAAAAACTAAAATTCTGACCAATGAAGACACTTCTGAAAGAAACCATTTCAGGGGCGCCTGGGTGGTGCAGTCGGTTAAGCGTCCGACTTCAGCCAGGTCACGATCTCGCGGTCCGTGAGTTCGAGCCCCGCGTCAGGCTCTGGGCTGATGGCTCGGAGCCTGGAGCCTGTTTCCGATTCTGTGTCTCCCTCTCTCTCTGCCCCTCCCCCGTTCATGCTCTGTCTCTCTCTGTCCCAAAAATAAATAAACGTTGAAAAAAAAAATTTTTTTTAAAAAAGAAACCATTTCATAAAATTACAGTTTAAAATTTTTATTTAGACTTTGGAATGTTTCATGGTCAAATTTATGAAAATATCACCACTAGAACAATCAGACATTTCATATTAATATTTGCAAGCTGAAAAGAGTAGAGCCTGGGAATAATAAAATTACAACCAGGTTGGTAAATGCAAAAAGAGAAATAGAATGAAAATTCATCTGAGTAATGAACTAACCCATGAAAAAGATATTTGGAAAAACAATTTAAGAGTTGCATTTGGACCAGCGTGTTTGTATAATGAAGTATTATGGTCTGTTTGGTATTGCCTGGCTTATATTTTAGAATGTAAACTATTAGGCATGTTATTGATCTTCTGAAGCTAACACTTTTTCTTTAGAGATTAAGACATCAATCAAAATATCAAGTATATACATCAGAATATAAATCATTTTTCACATTTTATTATTATGTAAGGAACCTATGGTAATAGAATTGGCTGGGTTTCTTAGTTGAAATCCACAGTAAGATTCCTAGGTAGTTCAGTGAGCTATACCTAATAGTATAGAAAGAGGATGTAGCTACTTGATACTTTTCATAACATTTGAGAGTAAGATATCCTTTTAAGATGTAAAATGATCAAGACGTGGTCCCATCTGAAATCTCTTGTCAAGATGAGAACTGGGGCTCACAGGGAACCTGTGGGAAACAGTTCTGTCACAGTGTTCTGTTGAAGGAGAAGATTTGTAGAGAATATGAACTCCTGCCAGTAGCAAGAGAACCTCCAGAAAGTCTGATGGTACCTGTTTAAGTACTCTATTTCTGTTCTAGAAAACATCTGATATGCCAGCTTGGATCCATTTCTTTATTCTCTTTTTGGTTGTTTGCTCAGTGTTCCTTTGAATCGTTATCACTTCCCCACTTAAAATGTGTTAATGTCTTTTATGCTTACTGAAGAAGGAAGACTCTTGATAATTGAGCTTCCGATGATGACTTCAGTTTTGGATCTGTTAACCTTTAAGAGGATCAGAGCCCTTCTTTGTTGTATTACTTAAATCCTTGTTCACTCTCTCAGGTAGGAATATAAATATGTGTTCTCTTCATACCCATCAGCTAGATAAGCAAGGATCTTCTAAGATAGTAGTTAGCATGGTGGTTTCAGGCATGTTTGGTGATTTTTCTGGGAGGTAGTTTTCCTATACATTGGTTTGTGGGTGGTCTCTTGAGATACTAACTAGGGCAGCTTTCTGGGGGGCAGGCTCTTATTTGAGACCCATTTCCTCCAGAGCAGCAGCATATTCCTCTTTGATAGAGATGGGATTTGGGAGAGGTTTTCTTCTCACAGAAGATGCATGTATGGAAAGTGAGAATTCAAGGCATTTCTTCTGCATAAAGACTTTTGCCTGCTGGACAGAAGCTTGGACAGTTCTTTGGAATTCACTGGGTTATAGTTCAGCATTTCCTAATTATGAGAGGTAACAGTGTTTATCAAGCCTTTGTTTTATTGGATTATTCACAATAGAAACTTAACTTCTAAAATACAACTGTGTTACAACTGAAGTGTTACCCTAAAATTGGATGGTTTGTAAAAACCAATGAGGTATTTTACATAGCAATTTTTTTTAAAGTAAGAGCGTGTGATACAATATTTGCTGGTAGCAATTGCTGTTAAACAAATGATGGGATGTTTGGGTGAAAACATCCAGCCATAGAGTAGGTTTCTTCTGTCATTCATGGCAGAGTGAAAAAGGTGTGCATGGTTTTCATCCAAATAATTCATTTCTTGAAATTGTTAGCAATCATTATAAACCATTGTCCTCTAAGGATTTATTTGAAGATACTGTTATTAAAATGTTCAGAATTTTGTGTACAGGTAGATTCTTGCCCCCCATTAATAAGTAGTGCTTTCTTGATACTAGCTGGTATTAACTATAATAAAACTACAGTGAGGCCAAACAATCCTACTTTCCGTATAAAGAAGACATTTTTAGAGTCAGATATTCCTTTCTAGTATCATTGGAGATAATGTTGCTTTGATTTATTCATGAAGTATTTTATATGTAGGGACTCTTGAAGATAATAGTTGGGCAAGCTATTGTCTTCTTAATCTGTTTGGTTAAAATTGCATTTTAAGGATCACTTATTTTAAAATTGGATCGGATTGTAATCATGAGAACTGGATGTATGTGTGTACCTGCCCATCTTCTCTTAAAAAGATACTCATATGCAGATGATAAAGACCAAACCAGTGGCTGCAGTATAGGTCCGCTTCTTGTTCTGCTTCTGTTTATGTGGTAGAAAATGAAATTCTAGCAATATGCTTCAATTCTGTTACCTTTTTGATACTTATAAAAATGTATTAGGTTTTACTATACTGTGCTTTTTCAAAGCCATAACTCTTAAGAACTTTGTTTTTGCATATTGTTTGCTAATACTTTATTTTAATAAATCTCAAAACCTGCTTATGTGTCTGTTGGGTCTTTTTGTGTGTGTGTGTGTGTGTGTGTGTTGGGGGGGAAGGAGGTTTCTTTCGGTACTTTCTTTTGACCTAACGTCTTTGACTGAATGGACTTGTAAAAAGGGTGAGTTGACCAGTCGCTGTGACTGGCTGTGTTATCTGTTTGTGTGCGCTAACAATAGGAAATGGATATACCATGCCTCCTTCCTCGGTGGGAGATTGGCTCAGAATGTAGTGTTTCTTCATTCTGTTTGTAAGAGAGTTGATGTGTTTTTCTTTGTTTAGCTTAGTGTAGTTTAGTTGGATTTTGAAAAAGTATTTAGATCTAGAGTCTGGGGTATTTTCATTTAACCGCTAATTTCCCTTCTGTAGATCTGTCTGTAAATGAGCGGTCTTGACTGCATGATTGGGAGGTAGAGTAGTAGCTATGGGTTCTGCCTGCCTCCGTGGGAGTCCTGGACCTCATAGGTCTGTTCGCTTTGTGCCTTTAGGCAAGTTGATTAACCACTCTGTACCTCAGTTTCTTGATCTGTAAAGTGAAAGTCTGCTGTATAGTATTTTGGGAAAGATTAAAGAAAATACAAATAAAGTACTTAGAGCAGTGCCTGGCACATAAGAACTCATATTTTTATTCTTATTATCTCTTGTATTTCTTCTTTAATTGACAGGAATTATTTCTGATGCTGCTTGACTTCAGTAGATCAACCCTTGATTAGCCACCTTGCCAGGTGACTTTGTTATTATTTTCTCCTTAAAAAAAATTTTTTTTTAAATCACAGGTTTTATTAGCCCCACCGAGTACATACTTTTACCACCACTGTGTTGTATATAGGAGAAGTGCAACCTCATTCTAATTAGAAGAGGATGGTGTAAATCTTTGTGCTCCCCACTAGAACAGGAGAAAAACTCACACTAAATATTTCAACCCAAAAGAATAAATCCAAAAGCTCTTATTTTTCTTTTTGGAGAAAAGCCTTCATCAAAAGAATCCATTTCTGCAAATCAGTTCCCTATGCCCTTTTACTTTAAGTATAAGGTATTTAGTAGTGACTTCAGTGGCTGTGTTGGAAACATTTTTTTAAAGCATTTTCAAAAGCATTTGTTCTGGCATACTCTTTCACTGAACAGTGAGAGGTGTTGGCTTCTCTCTGATTTAAGATAATTAGTTTTCAAATTGCTGCAGCCCAAACAGTTCAGGTGATGAGGGGATCAGCTGTGACAACTGCTTCATTTTTCTTTCAGATATGACACTCAATAGCTAATGCTGTTCCACATTTACAGCAGTTGCGATGCAGTTCCGATTTTATACATATTTATAAGGAGGCTGTCAGTAGGCTAGGGCAAGCTTATAAGAAAGTACTTAGAGCTCTGGAGTATATATGGTTCAAAGAAGGAAGCATTTTTGTTTAAAGTTCCTCAATTTAACATGTTAACTACTGCTGTATATTTGTTGAATTGGTAAGCCTATTATTAATAAAGATTTGATTTTTTTAAAAGGTGGTGTGTTCCCTTGATCTAAGTCACTCTGTGGTTGTAGTTTAAAGAAAGGAGGGTGGGACTACAGGGAAGGTATCAAAAGGGAGCGTTGTTGGTCGCTTTTGTAACCATCTCCGTATTAGGGTATGTGGGACGGGAGGTGGAGGGGGCATGCAGGTTGGTGGCCAAGGCTCATTATCTGTATGGTGTCACCTGGATGTGTGTAAAATTTCTGTGAGAGGCGGTTCCTGAGCCAGTTTTTGGATATTCGGGGATCTATTTTGAAAGCTCCTCATACTTTTGTTTTTATCTCTTACCCCTTTCCCTATCCAATAAAAATCTCACCTAATGTTTCTTCATTTTATTTTATTTTATTTCATTTTATTTTTTAAAAATTTTTAATGTTTATTTTTGAGAGAGAGAGGGTGTGAGCGGCGGGGGGGGGAGAGGCAGAGAGAGAGGGAGACACAGAATCCGAAGCAGGCTCCAGGCTCTGAGCTGTCAGCACGGAATCCAATGCAGGGCTTGAACTCCCTGACCGTGAGATAATG